TAAATGCCTGAAGATTTCACACATCCATGGAGCTCTGTGTATAAAGATTTTTAACAAACATCTACATGCATAGAGTTGTCCTCCCCCTTCACAGGTATTTCTCCAGTAATCTGCTGATCATTTTCAGAAGCATTTTAAGACTTAAGAAGTGTTTCTTCAGAACACATGCATGTCAGGGAATAATACCATAGCACTGCCATAATGCTGTTTGCTGAAAAGCCAGGACTCTTCATCGTGTGTGCAGTTTTCAGTTACAATTCAAAGGTGCTTGGAATCCATGTGACCTTGGGAGAGTCACAATTTGTTTTTTGAAGCAGTCTCCTCCAGTAACTGGTGTATAACCAAAAGCATCTATTTCAGTTCTTTTATTAGACTCACAAAGCTTATTCACTGTGTTGCTGCCCTCTGTCTCGCTATTAATACCAGCGAGATGCATCAGCGAAGTATGCCTCATTAACTTGGAAGTGGTGATTTAGGGAACATTAATTTTCTTTGACTACTCCGTGCTCAAGCATACAACACACTGGCTGGAGTGGTTAGTCCAGGGTTTTGGCCACGCAGGCCTATTCTGTAACAAGGAAATGGAAGGGATGGAATTCCCATCTGCATTCTGCACAGGGGTGCTTTCTTGCTGTGGGCTCACACACCTTCCTTGTGCAGGAGTCATAGCTATTGAATTTTTCCTCAGAAATCACTTCAGAGCACAGCTCCACTCTTATCAAAATGATGTGACTCCCAAGCTATGAGTCTCATCCATAACTATGTAACATGTATATACGCACTATAAATTCTGCATGACATACTAGCGGAATTTGCTCCTTAGAAGTGTTACAGCATAACACTTTATTGTGAGCAAAATAATATAGGCAATTTTTAGTAAATAACTAAAAAGAAAATGTTTTGAATCCTTTCAGACATACAAAGTTTTGTTAAATAAATTCCCCTGTCCACATAATGGAGATTTTCATTTCTCTGTTGAATGATTACACAACAGCCGGCAGTCCACATTTCTAAGATGTAACTAATTTTCCCACTTTATTTTCTAACAAAGTATTGCTTATATATATTAAAAAAAAAAAAAGCCACTTTGCACTTTTCCTATTCCAAACTAGATTCAAAACGTTTCTCTTTAGCTTCTGGTTTTGCAGGTCAAACTGATCTCAGGATGTCACCAAAACTTCTCATGCTGCTGTGATACATGTTTAATCATAGAATCATAAAGGCTGAAAAAGACCTCTAGGATCATGCAGCCCCCCAGCACTGCCCACTAAACCCCGTTCCTTGGTACCATTAGGCATGCAAGTAATCCGATTAAAGTCAGTATCTGTGAAGTCAAGCACATAAGCCAAAGAAAGGGTTTAGCATTGTTTCTGTACTTGGCTTCTCAAGTGCTTCCTTTCACAGCCTTTTCTCTAACAAGTTGTATCATCTGCATCCCATTTCTAAAAGCGCTATGACACCCCTCATCTTGCTGCATGGGTATTCTCCAGAGCCCCACAGACAGACTCGGTGCAGATCAGCTGTTGGCATTACGCCTCCTTCTCTATAACAATTTTTCAGTAGTGCGATGAAAAGAAATAACCTGAATTACATTTGAATCACACTAACCTACTGACTTCCAGTTGTAAGTGGCAATTCTTGTACACATAGAGACAAGAAATCACCTGGTGTAGGGACTTAAATACTGCACTACAGCAAAACTCTGACAACTTTGGAGTTTTATGCAAGTGAGTATGGAGCAATTTCTCAAACACCCCTGAATTATTAACCAGGCCTGCAAGCATCTGAAAACTGGTCTGAGAATTTGGTCCATTACTTATCTAGGCCAGCAGGAAATATTAGCTTGTTCTGCATCTGTTTCAGTTTTTCAGTTCTGAATCCATTGCCACAGCAGAGCATTTATTCGTAATATTTCAAAAAGTGCTTTTTTTTAAATCATCCCAATTATGATCAACGTTTGTAATCGCTGTCATTCCTGCCGTGAGTTTTAGATGCAGAATATAAAAGTATTTTTATTTAAATATCCTGCAAAATAATCATTATATTTCATGCTTCAAATGACACAATAATAACTGGTAAGATTACAAAGTACCCTAATTATGCCATTACTTTTATACAATTTTTCCAAATGTGAAACAGGAGCAATGCATTTGATTATTATTATTATTATTTTCCTAATGTCAGAGCTGAATAATACACTTAATGGATTAATAATCTGATACAAAAAACACCTTTGCAGTAACTCCACGGAATGCAGCGCTGCATTGTTAAAGCATGCTAATTAGAATAACCATCATTTAAAAAAAATCCAGCCAAACAAAAAATACGCAGTTTGACGCAAAGACCAACTGACTTTTAATTAAACTTTAATTCAAACTAATTTATCTACATGAAAAAGCCATGATGAACATACAAACTATGCTCGCCAGGCTACTGACAGAGTGTATTTTCAGAAGGGAATGAAGGAATATACCTGTATTTAGAAAACATACATTTAAGTAAAAAATTACAGTAAGAGAGGTAAGACTCAACGTATTCCAGATTTGGCAGAGGAGAGGGAGGGTGCAGTAACACACTAAACAACCCAATACCCTCATTCATATGACTTCAGTCTGATTGCAGCTCAATTAGCTACACCACCTGAATAATTTTTTACAACAAAAAAAATGTAAACGTATTTTTCCATGTATAGCTGATTAGTCTCCTAATTATTTCCTCTTTCTCCAGGAGGAATACATAGGCATTTCTGCAGTTCCCTGTGCTGGGCTGCATTTAACCTTACTGCAAACATTACGATAGGTCTGCTCAATGCAATGATCAGCGTCCTCACCTATGGACACAGTAAAATCTCACATCGTTTCGACAGCATTTTATCTATGTTTAACAATCTCATAAAAGCATCTGAAAGAAGGAAAAACACAATGACCATCCTGTGTTACAGGGTACTGTAGCATAAGTTAACAGCATTTCTCAACTTCACAAGCAAGAATCAGGAATAATTGTATTCATAAACATCAGAAACAAAGCCCCCACATGAAAACAGCAGCTTAGGAAGAACACAAACAGATTTTTCGGAAGTTGCAATATGCTTTGAAAATATTAAGAAAAACTTAACTGTTACCTCCAGATTTCCTCTATGAGCTTTATTTTTCACATCCCCTCCTGAGGGACAGACAGTGCTGAATTTATGACAGATTAGCAGAATTTTTCAGGTATCTACCATAGGTTCCACTCACATTAAATCTCCCATGGCTTTTCTATAAGCCTTCCTACTACATAGATACATTAATATTTATATATATATAAATTAAAAAAAAAAAAAACAAAACTTTTCTTTTCTTACCTGTACATTCAGTTTTACTTACAATGCCTTCAGAGAGAGGATGTAATGATACAGTTCTGCCAAACTATTCTGCATCAATCGCAGTTGCTCTACTGGCAGTAGCAGCATCAAAAAAAGTTACGCTGACTTTCACAATTGCACATTAATTTTTAGAACTATTACAAAACAATAAAAAGTTGCCACGTTTCTAAAAAATTCTTATTAAAAAAAAAATTCTTATTTTTTTAAAGAAAAAAAAATTCCAAATTCATTTTTTTCATACCTCCTCTTTTTTTTTTTTTCCTCCCAGAAAACTGATCTTAACTTGATATAAATAAAATTATTTCTTCAGTCGCATACCTTTGTATTTTATTTTTATTTAAAATAATAAGTCAAATACACGAATAAAAAAAATTGCTTTTGTCCATTCGGCTCCCTCCCCCAAATCGACACTTTATAAAAACCTTCTGTACTTTTTTCCCCCTCCCTCTCTCCCTCTACTACCTCCAAGATGGTAGGAAAGTTGTTGTTTTGGAGGGCAGAGGAGCCGCTCTGTGATGTTATGTCCTCTCGGTGCCTGTAGTGGTGCTGTAGGAGGCTGCCGGCTCTCTTCTTGAGCAGCCCCAGCAGCCCTGCCTTCTTTGCTGGAGAATATATTCAGGGATTCCCCTTAATAATCACCTACCCTCTGAGCACTTTGTAGTTTTAAAATAATAAAGAGCCCCCAAAGCTTCCTCCCCACAAAAAGCAGGATCTCCTCAGAGCCAGGGGGGCAGCAGCTCCTCAGCACAGAGCCCGAGCCCATTCCTAGTCCCTCTACCGGGGAGGAAACTCTGATCTGTCAGCCCAACAGAGGGAAAGGGGGGAGAGGAGAGAGAGGAGAAAAAAAAAGCGGCTGGAAAGGTAAGCCAGGCCCGGCCTGCATCCCCGGGCTCGCGTAGCGCGGCAGGCGGCGCGAAGGGAGCAGGGCGGGCGGAGAGGCGGGCTACGCGAGGCCGGGGATCGGCCGGGGCGGCGTAGGCCGCGGCGGGGGGTGAGGGGAGCCGGCGGGGTTTCGCGGCTTTCGGGCGCCGAGAGGAGCCCCGAAGAGGGGTGAGACGGTCGCCGGGGCTCAGCGGGAGGGTCGGGGCGCGGCGCTGCGGAGCCTTTGCCCGGGAGGTGAAGGGCGGTGGGGGAGAACGGGGGCGGGGGGGCGCTAGGCCTCAGCGCGGCGCGGCCTGCCCGCTCTGCTCCCCGCCCCACCGGGCCCCCCGCGCTGGGCCCCGGGCCCACAGCGGGCCGAGCCCCGTCGGAGCCGGAGCCTCGCGGGCAGGGGGAAGGCGGCGGGGCGCGGTGGCGGCGGCGGCGGGGCCGCTTCCAGCCCCCACACCGCGGCGGGGCGAGGGGGGGTGGGGGGGGAACGCGGATCGGGGGTGCCGGGGGCGGCATTAATTTCCCGAAATGACTTGTAACGAGCGGTGCGGGGGGTGGGGGCGCCCCTTCCCCCGGCCCGGTCCGGGGCCGCCGCGGCGGAGGCGGTGCCGGTCCCGCGGGGCGCGCGGGACCGCGGCCTGGAAAGTTTCGCGGCGTTTTTTAGGGCGCTCGCCCCACTCTTTGCCGCTGTCCGCCCCGCCTCGGCGGCCCCGGGGATGGGGCGGGGGCGCCCGGGACACGGCCGCGGTCTCTCCCCCCTGGCCCCCGATCTTTTTCGCGGCTGCACCCCCACTCATTCCGGCCCTTGTCTGCTCGCTCGGGTTATTTCGCCTCCCAACTTTTTGGGTGGAAACGGGGGGTTTCTTGTGGAGGTTGGCGGGAAGGCCGGTAGAGCTCCCCGTAAGCTGCCCCCGCGTGGCGGGCCTACCCCAAAACCAGGGGTCTGGGCGGGGGGCAAAGGCCTCACCCTTGTGCCGTGCCACGCACCTGGGCTGGCCGCGGTGCCTGCCGTGCCCCGGAGCCCCCAGCCCTGCTCGGGGCCGGTTGGCACCGCCGAGCTGGGGTGGTGGCCCTGACCCTGCAGCCGGGGAAGGGGACCCCCCTCCAGGCCCCGTTCCAGCCGGGGGGTTCGAACACGGTCTCCGGTTCTGTCCCGCATCCCCAGCTGTGGAGACATGCATGGTGTGGGCCACAGTAGGACAAGTGAGGGGCATCGGTTGCCCATGAGGTACTGCTGCTGGGAGTGGGAAATAAAAGGATGCTTTTTTCCAGGGAAGGGAACATCTGTAGTTGTGAAGTGAGCCCACTGGAGAGCCAACCAATACGCTTCACCCTGCACAGGTGAACCAGGTCCGGTTTCTCATGCTGGAGATGCATACTTTTGTTCAAATGTTCCTTAAAATGCCTTTTAGCTCAGAAGGCTAATTGCTTTGTACAAGTAACCTTGAATATGTTTTGAGAATGACAGCAACAATTTACAGCTTTATATTACACCATCTGATTAAAATATGTAGATCTATAGTTAGTTCTGACTTCGTTACTTAACAACATATGAGGGTTTATTTTAAACTGCTCTCAATTTTTGAGGATTGGTATAGTTAAAAGTGGCAAATTTAGGACAGCGCGTCGTTCCCTTCCTGCTGAGTGTCCTGTGTCCTCTGGGCACCGTTTGTGCCAGCAGTTTCACTCTCAGATCGTACCAACCGGGTACTGCTGTGGATGGGTAAACCCCAGCACCAGTGTTGCCTGTGTAGCTGTCACTTGCCGCCTAGTGACATTGTTGCAACCATCTTCAGCCTTGTATGTGATTTGTTTGTATTATATACATGCATAAGACAGATTTTATTAATTGTAAAGCTAAATTGCCTACAGAAGCAACCCCAAATTTACTTAGTAGGTGTAATTTTGATGTTTGAGTACTTTCACGATGAATGAATGAGCTGTATGTAGGGCTTGGTCCTACAGAGTTGCATGTACTACCATGCTCTCGCAGTATGGCAGATCCTCAGGAAGCAGAAATTTATTGTAAAGCAACATAGAAACTTTGATTGCTTATAACTGCTAAAAGGCGGCTCTGTGAGGCGCTCTGCTGCTTTATTTTACTTACTGAGTATTCCTACTGAAGCAGGAACGATGTTCCTGTATTGTGTGAAAATAAGGTTGTTTGTCTATGCACCACCGGGACTAAAAATAAGGCAGAAGTGTTTTATTTAACCTCGTACGCAGGTGCAGGTTAGCTCCTACTTTGATGAATAAAAGACTTGGACTTAGTTTTTTCTTCTTTTTTTTTAATTTTTATTTTTTGAAAACTCAAGTACAGATGTTAGGTACATTGTGTTGTATTTGACTCTGTGCTTTCTCTCTGGATCATGGTTTAGATATTTTGAGATATCATTTTAGTTTGCATTTTTGTGATGTTGCAATTCCTTAAATGTCCCATTTATTGCTGTGTCTGAAGACCTTCTTTCTGCAGCCTGTGGCCCTGGCAATCCCTGGGCTTGTTTATAGCCATGTTGAAATAAGTGTGCTTCTGTGCAAGCATGAGGATCGTGTTGTGTGGATGTGATTGCAGGACGGGGGCCTTGGACTGGGTCAGATAGAGCAATCCTTGTTCAAAAGGCTTCTGAGATAGAGAACCAGTCTGGAGCCTCAGAGGAGGAATAGCCATGTTTAGGAAATGTTACACTGAAATTTATAGGAATGTGCTCTTGGCTACAAATTTCAGTAACAAATGTTACTACTGACCATCTTTTCTCCTTGAAACCCAAGTTTCTACCATTCCTGCTGAAGTTTATTTTGTGTAGGAAAACAAAATCAGCAACTTGCACAGTTTTGAACATAAAGTATTTTTTCCCCTCTCCTTAGTTACTTTTTCTGTTGTTGACTGGAACTTCTCACAAGCCTGTATGTTATTCAGTTATTATTAGCAGTAATACTCAAATTTAGTTATGGTATTTAGTCTGTTGTATCATGAAGAGTAATTCATGTTATCAGTGTTGCTTAAAACATGCAGTTGCTTTCTTGTTAATATGTTGCACACCTTTATGCAATATATATGGCCTTTTTGCAGAGTTGAAGTAATGAGCCTTCTAAGAAGGCAGAATGAGGACAGTGTTGCTGCTTCTGTCTTCCTAGGTAGATTTCCACATGTGGGAAGTAGTTCAAAATGTGATTCCAGGGAAGTAAAAGTGTGCAGTAAGATCTCGCATGCTCAGTGCCCGCATCTTGGGGGTAGATTTGTCCCAGTTCTTGCATGTGTGTGCAGTGCCTTCGTCACTTGTGTGGGCTCTTCACAGGTTTTCTTGAGCTAAGACTGTGCACTGGTTAGTAGAGTTGTTCCCAGTGAGAACTCCTGTAGCTGACTTTATTTACCTTGGTTACCTCCCAGTATTCTGTCTTGAATTGGGTGCTTCTACCGATAGGACTCTTTCTGGGTTTGAAGCAGGCTTGGTTTGGTATGACGTCATCATTACGTTGAGAAGTAAGCCAAAATTGTGGTTAAATCATAGAACAGGGACAGAAGCTACAACTCTGTGGTGTCGATGGTGACCACAATTAGATGTGGTACAGCTTCTTTTGATAAAACAGAGTACTTCTCAGAGAGATACTTGTCTCTAGATATGAAATGGGAAGAAAAGGAGTCAGAGTCCCAGAATGGTTTGGGTTGGAAGGGGCCCTTAAGATCACCTAGTTCCAACCCCCTGCTATAGGCAGGGACACCTCCCACTAGACCATGTTGCTCGAAGCCCCATCCAGCCTGGACTTCAAAGCTTCCAAGGAGGGGGTAGCCTTCTTTCTAATAATACAGGTTTTACTAGTACTGACTGGACAATTTTATGGTAAGGTAGTTTTAAATGTGTGTCATTTTGTAATGACTCTTATGGCTTCTGTTCCGCTTTGAGTGGATTAAATTCCAGGTTGCCAAAAGCATGTTCAGATCCACGTGTTTATTGTCAGTCTCAGCAAAAAGGATCAGGCGGTGGGAGCACAGGGAATTTTTCTCTCTTGGTCAAATCAAGGAATCAGCAGAACTGCTATTAATGCTGCTTGTGGAAAATCTGAGGTTTGTGGAGATCGGAGTTCTACTTTCTGGCCCCAAGGTGATGGTTTTGGACACGTGTAGGCGATTGCACCTTGTTGTGAGATGGTGTGAACACACCAAACTATACAGCATGAAGTCTGTGCTGGTATTAAGAATTCAAAGAACACAGTTAAAAGTCACAATTAAAAAGATCTTATTCATATGCAATGTGTGAACCTCTGAGCCCAGTCCTCTTAATTATACATCTTTTAACTGTTGACATATAATAATTTCTTTGCAATTTACAATGCATTTGGGGATTCCGTTGCCTAAATTTGGTCTCACGTAGGTTGAATGTCAAATTCTGAGCATACATTTGACGGTGGGTCTAACCCCCATGGTTTAAAACGTTCTGATGTTTTCTGTGTGGTGTTTTCTCAGGGTTGCTGATTGGATTTGGGGCTGCAGTACTTTGGCTTCAGTAATAGCGGCCAGGCCATTAACTTCTCTGTAGAACACAGGCGATGCCGGGTACCAATTTCTGTATGACACAACGCTGGTACTCAGTACGATCTCACAGAGATTTCCCCAAGACTGGCTGTGGTGGTGTTTTCTGCCTTCTCTGAAGGAACGTTTAACTGTATTGGAAGAGGTAATGCTGTCTTGGAGCCAGCGTGCGCTGTGAGGGAGCCCGTTTTGCCTGCTTGAGAGCACTGACAGTGGCTGGGAGCTGGCTCCCTCCTATGCCTGGCAGCAGGCACTGGCAGCTGTGCAGGTGTGTGCACGTGTATATTTAAGTCTCATTTGTCTTTTCATAGCCACTTTGCAAACTACATGTTAGGCACAGTGTGGCTTTGCTGTGCGCCCTGCCTGTCCTCATGTGAAGGCCTTGCTGGGACGCAGTTTGTTGCCCTTTGCATGCCTGGACAGCGCTTTTACCAGAAGGAGGAGATTTTCTTCCAGTCATCTGCACAGGTGTAAGACATGAACATCTTACCAAATGACAGATGTTAGTGTCAAGCTTGTAAGAACGTAGGAAGACCCACCTGGTTAAGCTCAGGGGTTGATCCAACCCGCAGTTCTGTCTTGGACAGTGGGAACAACTGATGCAGTTGGAGCAGAATATGAAAACTCAACTTCTTTTAAATGTTTTCTTCTTTTGTTCCTCCAGCATCTGTGTTTATTAAGTTGGGTGTGCTAGCAGGTACATCACTGCCCACTTTTAGTGTCAGCGGTCACGCTCTCTATAAACTTTTCTGTTGCCTTCAGAACTCGATGATGCTGCCTGCTCCAGCAGCCTGTGTGACAGTGAGTTCCAGTGGCTCACTACCTGTGAGCAGCAGCAATAGAGAAGTACTTCTTTCCTGTGTTTTGAGTCAATCTCATGCTAACTTCCCCAGGCACCCCTAGTTCTAACATTGTGTGACTTGTCACTTGACCGTTCTGTAGTCACTTATGCCCTGCCATTAGGATGTTTAAAACGTTGGTCATATCCTATGTCATTTGGCAGTGACAGATTTCTGAGTTCTTCTGTTCTTACTCTGAAAATGTTGTGCTTAGAAGCAGTTGTTTAAGGAAAATGTGGGTTTCTCCAATACTAGCCTCTGGTTTCTCATTTGTGGGTTGTGGCTAGAGCCAGTCTAAAGACATGCTGGCTTAAATTGAGTTTGTTTTGAACCTCTCTGCAGCTGCAATATGGAGTATAATTGCGGACCCCAAAACAACTTCCAAAAGGGTTTGCACCCTGATAGTTGTGCAGCAAGGTACAGCTGCTCGAGCATTTCATTTTCCACGGGAAGTCCATGTTTCCGTCATCTCTGCTGAATCCTGTGGGACAAAAATATTTTCTCCCCACCCACCGTTTTGCTAAGCGTGGTTTCAGTTCTCTTCAGTTAAGTGACATGTGCCTGTGCTGTGCCTGTGCTACTTTCTGTGTCGCAGCAAAACGCTCTGCTAACAACTCCGATGTTGCTTCAAAGAAAGCACTACAACAGATGAAATCAGAATTGATAAATTAAGGAGTCTTTGTTTTATATATAGAACTGCTAAGGATGGAAAAGACCTCTAAGATCATCTTGGTCCAACCCTGGCTTACCCCACCATGCCCACTAACCACAGCCCTCAGTCTGTGTGTCTGTGCTTGTTGAGCACCTGTATGTGGCAGAGAACAAAAAGAAAAGGCTCCTTGTAGGCTTGGTGTGAGTTGAGTCTGTCAGCATATCCATGCAGCACTGCTGCCTTTCCAGGGTCTGTGTAGCAGTCTGCCCATCAGACGTGTATTGTCTCACGTGGTTTGCAAGGGTTGCTGTAATTTCCCCGTGTAACACTGGCTGCCGGGTGCATTAGCTTTTTTTACTTTCATTACACTGTAGTTGCACTGATCCGTCCCTAGGAGGATTTTGAATTTGGTTACATTTCTGTGAGCTTTTCTTAGTGTATATATAGACCCCAAAATACATGTATGAGCTCAAGGGTTTCCCTGAGGATTATTGCTGCTGTCCCAGCTTCAGTGCTTCATACGGCATGGTGCTTGTGGGCTGTATCTTTCAGACAAGTGAGATGGTAAATGCTGTGCCTGCCTCAACGTGGTCACGTTACAGATATAAGTGCAAAAATAAGACTTAATTATGAGTTAAGTCCAAAAATAAGATGGGGCACAGGAATAAATCCAAGATTACAGTGGCTGGGAACTGCAGAGCATTTTCCTCCCCAAAACTTAACCGAGGAGCCCAGATACGTGTTTTGTGTTGTTTACTTTGGAACTGCTCTGAAAAGCTCTCTTTGCTCTGCTGCTTGATAACCTTCAGACAAGAAATGTGGCTGCATTGTGCAAAGGAGAAGGAGGTCACCGGTCAGTAAGAAACTCTGCAGAGCATGATAGCAGCAGCTTAAGAGGTGGTGGTAAACATGGCAGAAAGAAAAAGCAGCGTGAGGGTCACCCCATCCTTGCAAGATGGGCGTGCTCTGTCCAGTCCTTCATCCTGCCCAGACTGTCACCAGGGCAAGCTTTGGTTCACTGTGGAGAGCAGCAAACTCTGGGGCAGAAGACTTTGTCAGCTTCATTCAGTGTAAGAGATGCAATTTGTTTAGACTCGCTTCATTACTTTTGCTACCCTAGTAATGGAGGAGGCTGTCTGTCAAGCACATGGGACTTGCACCCAGGTCACCTTGCTACTACTTAAGCACAGCACCATGGGATTTCCTTGCCTTTCACAATGTTGCTTTGAGGATGAATGCATTGCAAAGGCTCACGCTTCAGCCATCAGTTTTGGATATATGGAGTGTGCACCTTCCTGTGCTGCCCTTCACTGAGGGGAAGGCAGAGGGAAATGGATTTGGTGCCTGTGCTCATGCTCTCACTGTAAGCAAAGTGTCAGGGCTGCCTCCAGAGTGCTGCTGGTCTGTGTGCCTGGAAAGGGGACTGTGCATGGAGAGAAAACGTAGGAGAGTCCTTTCTGTCAAGGTGCTTCTCTTTAGCGGGGAGAAACTGCTTCCCTAGGGCAGAAGTATCTTCCTTGCAGAGGCTGGAGCCTCCCCTCCCTCCTTTGCCATCTTTTCCTTGCCGTGTGGCACGCTCAAAGTAAGTTGGTTGAGTTGGTAATCTCTGCAGTTGTCACACATCTCTCACCTCTATGTGCATTCCTTTGCTTGGTGTATGAAGCACCTGAAACTGAGTACTGAGTACACTGCGTATGCACTCTGTGGTTCGGGATGGCCTGCCCAAGCACCAGTGGCTTTCGGCAGGCTGAGCTGAGCGCAGCAGGGAGCTGCAGGTTGTGTGCACTGTTAGTGTTTTCTTGATGCAGCTTTGGTTTTGTACATGTGAGTTTTAAGAAGAATGATTGCTAAAGACTTCATAGTGGTTGGAGATGAAAAAGTACTGGAAGATTTCATGGCTTTGTTATTTTGCAGCACTGTTGGATTCTGTTTGTGGGAGTGGGGAAGAAGATGGGCTTTGCTGAAATGGCATTTCAGCCCTCTTGGGGTCATTGGGAGTACAGTCTCTGGCATCGTTAATGTCAGCACTCACCTGAAACTTTTGCTTACAAAAGGTGTAGGCAGCTACAAGATCATCAGTCTGTTTACCAGGTGTGATAAAGACATCTTGCAAAGATAAAAGGCTTTCCTATGCTCCCTGTGAAAATTAATATTTGTTAGAGTGAGGATAGTCCCCAGCATTTTTGTAAGTAAAGATTCTTGAAGGAGAACCTTTCTGCAATCAAATGAGTTAATGTCACATCAGCTTTCAGCTTGATTCCTGACAGCAGGAGATCTGATTTGTTGCTTAACCTTTTTCAACTTGTAGCCCCTGATCATTTTGTAGTATACAAGTGGAGTTCTGTTTAGCAGGTTTAAACGTGGTGACAGTCAACATTTTTTCCTTTCATGGTTTCCAGAGCTTTGTGGCTGCTTGTTGGAAGCTGTTGTGCTGGTGGGTTTGGTTTATTGGATGCCAGCTGAACCACAGGTTGAGTGGCCACATCTGGCCGCTTATTAAGCAGTATGATCCTATCTATTTTATTCTGACTGACCTTGACCTTTTTGATGTTTTCCTTAGACAATCCACATCATCTTGATTCATCATCATTCCAGGATAGTGGTGTCCTTGGGGCTCTCTCTTAACACTGATATGGTACAGAAGATTTAAAATCAGGTATTGTTTTGGGTCTCTCTTTAGCATCAAACTGAAATACACAATCTAGAACTGAATGCATTTTTTTTTTTCCTGATGTGATTTATCTTAATATTTTGGCTCTTTCAGCTGATGTTCACAAGGAATAGAGTCACGTGATGTATGAAGGCAAACACATACACTTCTCTGAGGTTGACAATAAGCCCTTGTGCTCGTATAGCCCCAAACTGTGCAAGCAGAGGCGACTTAACGGCTACGCCTTCTGTATCAGACACGTTCTGGAGGACAAGACTGCCCCCTTCAAGCAATGTGAATATGTGGCCAAGTATAACAGCCAACGCTGCACCAACCCCATCCCCAAATCTGAGGACCGTAGGTGAGTTGTGGTTGCCCACCTGCGACGCGGGAGCTGGCTGGGATGTAGGCATGAGTTTCTTTTTAAGATGCTGCCTGGTTTCAGGATGAGGGAGGAACTGGCTTGAGTGAATTGAATTCCAGGATGTTTCTTCGAGGGTTTTGTTATAAGACCAGTAAACTTTATTTTATTGTCTTTGGGAGTCAAGTATTCAAAGAGAGCAGTAACTTGCTCCCAAGCAAGTTTTCAGGAGGGTTTGTTGCTTTGCTCAAATTCACTATAAAGTGCGGATAAAATTTGCTGTGCAGTATCTGCTGTTCTGATTTGCTTGCTTTGTCACTCATAGTCTGTGCTCTTAAAGGGCCCTGCTTATTTGGCCAACTGTGGCAAAAGCATGCTTCTGTCTACTTTTTCAGGACAAACAACTGAAAACGCATGCCTTCTGGGCTTAGGGAGCAGTGATGCATAGGGGCGAATGCAGAGTTGCAGCTCTGTGTTCTTGCTTGACTGCTGATCTGTGGTGGTGTATTACTGGAATAAAGCACGTATTACTTGGTAGCAGATCAGTTGGCTAGAAAAGTGCTGTTTGCTCACTTTCTTCTCTACTTCTTCCTTTTCTCTCCCCATCCCTGCCCAAATGAAGATGCCTGAGGTGCCCAATATGAAATGGCTTGGAAGAGATAGTGCTTGCAGTTGTTGGAGAGCTGGGAATTCAAACCAGGCTTCCTGAATTGCAGCTCATACTGTAACCACAAGGGCATTTTTCCTTGCTCTTGAAGACTTTTTGAACGCACGTCTCACTTGTGCTGCTTGGGGTGAAATAGCAGAATTTGTCTGATCCTGTCTGTAAGGTGTATGCGATTTTAATTTTTCACTCATTGCTGCAGGTTTTGCCAGTACAACAGTATTTAATTAATGTGTGTGTTAACTACCTGGGGCTTATTCTGTTAGAAATAATTTTTTTTTAAAAGTAAAATATAAACAAAATATGCCAAAAAAGAATCAAACCACTCTTCACTGACCTTTCACATTATTAGCTACCATTCACTAACCTTTTGCATTATTAGCAGTGTTCCCACTGTGCCCTACATATAACTTCCTCCTCGGCTCACAGCTCCCTCTCTTGTCTGAAACAACAGTTGGACTGTGCTCTAAATTAACTTGCACTTCACCTGCCATTTCACTTGAGGAGACTGATGAAGTGAGAAAACAACACGAATGTTTGTCAAAAGCTGTAGGGCAAATGCTCAAATGGCACAAGATGAATAACTTTAAGCTGCAGTTTGACAGTCGGTGACTCTTTCTTTGCTCCTGTAACATTGAGGCTCTTTGAAATAAGCTCACAAAAATGATCATGGAAATTGTTTGAGCAAATGATACGCTGTAATTTCAGATGGAAGAGCCGACTGAGCCCGAGTTGCTGTTTAACAGGGTTGCACTCAAAAACAATGGAAATAATACTACTTAATGACACTTCTTAGGTCTCATATGTTCCCGTGGAATTTGAGATTTTTCTTTACACCTTGAATTGAGTTCACACTTTGTTCTTTTTGATTTTTCTCAAGTTAAAGTGAAGTGTGGTCATGACATCTGGTGTATGTTATATTAGAATTATTCGACTGCATGTCGAGTGTCACATTACAGTGCTTGAAGAGGACAGCAGGTGTCTGAAGGGGAAAATAAACTTTTAATTTCAAATGAGAGGGTGTGATCGCTGGGAAGAATATTTTAAAAGGCTGCTTCTCAGGGCGGAGCTTAGTTTTAACAATGAGATTTGATGAATGCTAGTGATAAAACTGTGCCTTCTCAAAACAGTTTTTTTTGGCAGGCAAACCTGTATCTGTGTCTTAAGAGACTTCTTTCACACTCCACTCAGTATAAAGATGTTTGCTATGTCTGAGTTCTCTGCTCGTAGCTTTTAATTTTCTGTTTACAAAATGACTGTCAGATGGTCATTTTGTCAGTTTGAGACACGTTTGGGATCAGAAGCAGGCTGTGTGATACTGTCACAGCTACGTTCTTATATATTCTTAAAGATTATAAAAATTGGAATGTCTTAACAGGTTGCATGCGTTATATGCCAAAACCTCCTAGTCTGTCCACAGATAATTAAAAATAATTATCCCTTAACCCCTGACAAATGAGTTGGCATCAGCCACAAAGATGTTTAATATGCTGTTATATTATTTAATTTCTTATTAACCATTAACGTTCCTCAAATTAAAGCTATTAATAGCGCATGACTTCATTACCCTAATTGAAGTCTAATTTCTCTATTCTTTATCTCGTTTTTTTAAAGAAATACACTGGATGGTCAGACGTGGGCAGTGCACCTGTAATTCTTCCTGAATATGTCTCCTCATTCTTTGTTGTCCAAATACACACACAGATTGTGATGCTCAGTTTTGAAAGTATAGATTTTTTTACAATGCAGCTTGCTTAAACACCATTTTATCTCTTAATTTTCTTCTTTCATGAATCTGTAAATAATGTGCAAGCAACTCTCCAGTTTAGTTAGTTATTCCTTTAAATAAGTGACTAAACCCAATAGAAACCTGGGAGGTACTGGGAAGCAGGATGCAGGTGTAGGTAGAAAACCTGGCTTTCTGGGTTCCTGCCTTTCCCATGATGTGGGAAGCTGCCTAAGGCCTGCACAGCCTGTCACCTTTCTGAGCTGTGTGTTGTGGTAGCTTTAATAGATATCAACCCACTGCTCTTACTGTGCATGTTGACTGCATTTGTCCTCACCTGCAGCAGAATAAGTGCCTTTAGTGCTGAATAAGGAAGGGGAAAGAAACTAGATTAGGTACTCCGCGTGATACTGGAAGCTGAGAATAACTCACAAGGTTTTGGAAATGGCAAGCTGTGCCACTGAGACAGACACTCCAGCACCGGCTGCGTGCAGGGCCAGCTTGGCACTCCTGGCATCATGCTCAGGGCCATGCAAAAGGCACGGTGCTGCTTCCAGGTGCCTGTCCTCCTAGTAGCCTGCCTCTGTGGAGCATCATCCCTGGCCTTGTCTCCGATCTGAAAAACCTCCTGCTCAGCTTGGCTGGCCCTTGGTTGGTTCCAGCAGAGCCACTTACCGCCTGCTCCTGGCTCTGCAGTATGGACTTTCCTCCCTGCAGGCTCCAGGACAGCTTAGTAGCTGGCCCTGTCTCAGACTGGCCCATACTGATGTAGCCTGCCACCTGTAGGTTTGTGTCAGAGGAGATGTCTGTGTAAGATACTGCTGGCTTTTGCTGATGAAGCATGGTCAGTTGTAAGAATCGCAGTTTTATTCTCTGTTGTGTAAAACAGAGAGGAGAATTAAACATGCAAAACACTTAGCAGCCTAAAACTCAGAGAGAAGCCTACTACCTTTCCATAGGTTTATTTACTTTTTCTATATTTGGCTTTCTCTTTCCTTTCCAGTTTCACCTCCTTGCTCCTGCACAAGCACAAGGTGGCAATATAAGTTTTGAACAGTAAAAGGGAAGCATTCAAACTGAGCAAAGCTCTCATTTTTATGGTATTAAGGGAAAAAAAACCCATTGTGTTTGTCTTGTCTGTTTGTGGTTTTTATTCTGTCATACTGAAAGTGCTGTCCTAACTGATCTCAGTCTTGTTCAAACAAAATGCTAAGAAAGTGCTTAATTTTAATTACACGAATAATGCTATTGGCTTTAAGGGAAGCTTTGCTGAGCCCTCATTATAGAATTTAATTTTTGGAAGTGCATCTCTCAGTATGAATTTACAGAATTGTAGTCTGTTCCAATAAGGACTTAAGCTTGTCTCATTTATTTATTACTTTTGACTTAATGTAATGAGGAAATTATTTAGACAGTAATATGTAGCAATGCTTTTCAGCCTTTTTTGATTTGTAAAATCCTTATGGGTGTGGACCCTTCAAGGCATTACCTATATGCAGATTGTTAATATAGGAATTTACATTTATGCCATTTATGGACCATTGAGAAAACATCACATATTGCTTTCTTTAGGGACAGGGTGACAAATTGAAGGCTGCTAAACTGAAGTATTCAATGTTGCAGGGTTGACTTGACCTTTTTTGTTATTTTTTTTTTCCTCACTAAGACCAGCAATCATTTCATTTTTATTTTTTTGTTCCACAAAACTTAATTTTCTCAGGTTATGTCCCTTACAGGATGCTCTGTTCTACTCTATCATACTGATAAGACTTTAAAGAATACTTTCATGGGTATTTCCTTATCTTGTCCAAAAATACCATGACATAGACATCACTCTTTTATCGTATCTTTGTTTTCATCTGTAAGCTGCGATTGTAGATGGGATCTGCAAAGGACAGAAGCCTCATAACTGGGGCATTCCACAGAGACAGGAAGTCCTGCCTTTATGAGAGCAGGAAAATGTAGGATTGTGATTCCTATATCTCCACTGCCTGCTTGTTTTAAACAGACAGAAATTAATTGTTTACTTCTTAGTATGCTATCTTAGCCTATAAATTGCAACTCTTTTATATTAGAACTTGAAACCTATATACATATACATACATACATATATATATTATATATATATATATATATATATATATATATATATATATATATATTCTTGGCACTGTGTTTTCCAGAAACACAGAATTTCTTTTACACTAGATTTTTATTTGAAGAGCACTCCGCTAATTCTTTGGCTACAAATTTTTTATGTTAAATTACTAAAACAGAGCTTAAATATGAAGCTTTTTTTTTTTTTTCATAAAGTGCAAATACTCACCCATCTTGGAAAGTATCTCCAGTGAGATTGTCCCCATGATAAACCATTCCCTACTAAGTGGGATTCGTAACAATGATGTGTGTGTTGATGAAAGCCCTAATACCAGGGGAGGAACAGCCAAATGAAGGAAGTAGTCATTTGTGTAATCTTTCCTGGGAGCTTTTGAAATGGTTTTGTATGATCAGTTAAGGTCTTAAGTTCTTTCTTACTCTTTTATGTATCAGTCCATTTATTTTGTTCGCTTTGGGTTTTGATTATTTACCCTACTAGAATGTAAATAATTTGAATATACTGTGAGAGTCTCCTGTGAATAGGAAAGTGACATTGTCACTTGGAAAAGTTTGTTATAGGTTGGGAACATCACAATTATCTGTTGTGTTAGGATTGTTTATGATTTATGTAAAATCTCCTGTGTTTTTATCTGATTTCTGAAGTTGTGTGTAGGTTTCCACTTGGTGAGGTCTGTTTTCTTCAGGTTTTACTTGCAAGAACTGAATTAGGAACTGGCTGCTTTTACTTTTCATAGGTACTGCAACAGCCATCTGCAGGTACTTGGCTTTATACCGAAAAAGGAGAGGAAGAAAAAGAATGATCCCATAGAGGAGGTAAAGGCCAGGCACCAGATGGATACTATGGCCCTCAGTCTGACGATGCCCACCCTGGCCTTGAAGATGCCCAATGGACTGGACGGGATGTCCCTCTCCCCTCCTGGGGCTAGGCTTCCTCTCCACTACCTGGAGGCAGAACTAGAAGACCCCTTTGCTTTCAACGAGGAGGATGATGACCTAAAGAAAGGGGCAACGGTGAGGAAAAAGTTGCAGAGCAAGTTGGCTCAAAACCGGCAGCGCCAGAGAGAGACAGAGATTTTAAAAGTTCGCCAAGAGCACTTTAGCCCCCTCCCTGCACCTTTGCAGCAGCAGCCTCTGCAGCAGCAGCACTCCCATCTGCCACCTTCATCAGCTTTGTTAAAGCCAACAGGGCTACCGCAGGGCATAGTCTGCAAGTCACCTCAACCTCCGAACACCAGCCTACCAATGCAGGGAGTGGCACCCACCACACACACTATAGCACAAGCCCGGCAGTTGTCTAACAAGAGACCTCTGCCTCTCCTGCCACCTGCTAGGGCTCCCGTCACGGACCCTCCAAGGACTGATCGGGTCCTAATGAAAGCCACAGCCTTTTCTCCACACTCATCCTGCATGAGCCGGCTACAGAGACTGGTGAAACTGTGCACTCGAAAACAGCAGCTGGACACTGATCTGTTTCCACATCTAGGTGGGTAGATAATAAATGCCTTGCCTCTTCTTTTCTTATTCTGAAACCAGAACACCAAAGAGGAATGTCCTCCTACCTCTGTCCTGCTTTCATGTGTGGTCTGTATGAAATAAACCTGCACTAGGTGATGACTTTGTCTTTTTGTTAGCCGCATTCTCTGCGGAGGGATGCCTGGATCTGTTATGCATGGTTAGTGGCACTTTAGCTGTTCATTCTTGTTAGTGTCCCATTAATCATTTGAGAAATCAAACTGAGGTATAGAAAGCATTGCTTGACAACATATGCATTGTATAGAAGATTTGCAGCCTGCTTAGTAAAGGGCCGTTGGAGACTAGACAAAGTTAAATGTGTGACAAGTGCAGGTTACAAAATAAGTGCAAATAAAAGTTGGGATATTTGGCCCATTATTCAGTGCAGATCCAAATTTATGGTTGACTTGGCTAGGAGAGTTGGAAAACAAGGGAGTTTTTCTAGACTGGATCCAGTTGTGTACAGAACATGGCTCAACAAAAGAGGAGTATCATTGTGTAGTAGTATATATACTACTGTATATATACTGTAGTAGTATATATATTAGTAACTTTATAATGGTAGTTGGAGAGGTGGGGTCTTATCTGCATGAAATAGTTTCCTCCTTCCTTATTATCTAGAAACTGTGATAATCAGTTATTGCTTGCAAAAATTTAAGTAAAAATAACCAGCTTGCTGCTATAGCAGAAGTGCTCTATGAAGCTTCAAAAAAGGCAGCTAACCTAGGGTTTATTTGTCTGATGATGAATACAGACTCAGGTACACCTGGCTTTCCTTGACATGTCCCTCATACTCCAAAATTACCTTGCTTTTCTGCTTAGTTTTAGACTGTGCTTTCCTAACAAGTAAAATACTGACAGGAATAACAGGAACAGAGGTCAGTATGTGATATTAGAATAGGAATGCCACTTATGATGATTCTGTTTTTAGGACTTCAAATAAATCTGGAAGTACTTACGTGAACATCTTACTTAATTGCAAACATCTGTAATTTTTGCTGTTTCAATTAACCTTTTTTTAATTTGCAGTTAAGATCTGCCCTTTGGCACTCACGGGATAGCTTGACTATTTGTTCAAAGATAATTAGCATCCCATAACATTCTCTAAAGGACATTGTTCTTCAGAAATGTTGTTTGATCATCCTACATATAACGCAGGTCTTCTGAAGAATGGCAGCTCTGTAGGCACTTCCATGTGTCACAAACTCAAATAACCTCTGTTTCGGGATGCCATAGAAAGATCACTTTCTGTGTTTCATGTTTTACTTTCTCATATGGTGTTTGAATTGAAGGAAATACAGTTTCCTAAAAAAAGTGGCATAGTAGGAAATGGATTGGACCTACCAATGCAGGGTTAAGCAAATGCTATACTAAAATAAGATAAAATGTAAAAATGGTGTACGCACTGGAAACATTTCACATTTGGCAAATAACAGAATTGACACATTAAGCACATTGGAGTGGAAAATGAAGTTGTTGTTTATTCATAATATGCCTTGATATTAAGGACTAGTTTGGAAAATTTTAGGATTTGTGTTTATTGATGAAGTAGCACTACAGATGGTGGTGCAGAACCCTTAAAGAGAGAAACTCAGTTTTATATGTGTACGTGCTATCAGCAGCATGTAATTGGTTGTTAGTATAGCTGCAGTCTTTAGTGTGAGTACAGCTGAGTCTGGGTTAGATTTTATCTCTTTGTTTCTTCATTGCCCATTGAAAGTGAAAACAACCCAAACTCTGTCTTTATTTTTAAACTTTGGGTAATTTGTTACTTGGTATCCATTGCACTCAGTCTTTATCTCCTGGTGAGGTTATATTCCCCTTACTGTATGGAAGGGGGGAGTGTAGAAAACATAGACAGTGTAATTCTGGCATTTTTTCAAATGTATTAAGTTGTCTTAATTTAGTTCGTATACATATCTTAAAAGATAGGAACCAAGAAAATATTTTCAGGATGCTGAAGGTGCTGAAGAACAGGGTTTCTAATCTTTCTGTTAGGAATGTCAGTTCTGAATGATAGAGGGGCTCCTGATGACTGTGTTCCAAATGACATGTGCCTGTATCTCAGAATGTAGGTGATCAAGTACTGAAGTCTTTCCCAAACTGAAAGCATCTGGCTTCAGAACTATCTCAGATAGAGCTGTTTAGTTTCTTTTCAGTAAAAATAAAGTGTTCTTTAATTCTGTCCAAACTGCTGTGCCACTTTCAAGGAGCGCATGAGGAAATGAAAAAGCAGTGACAGTGGCTTGTAAATGTGGCTGCAGGATTTTTATCCCACCTGCTGCAAGGGATTGAAAGAATTTTACTGGATGTGGGTGAGAGAGTAGGCAAAATTGCAAAAGATGCCCCAGCTAATGTTTTCCACCTGAGCATATCACAGGGAAACCAATAACAGGGTCCATCAGTTTGACTAACAGAGGCTGTTGATGCATACAATGAGTTGAACCTACTGTATTATCATTAAGGAAAAGCATGCTCCATTTTAAAAGTGCACAAGTATTTACATTTTTTGTGGCTCTGTTTTCCTGCTAATATATGCATTTGGCAGGCAATTACAAAGACTGAGCAGCAGAGCATCCTGTGTAGCTGTGTATCTGTCTCTACCCATGCTGCTCTGTCTCGCAGTTTTCCCACTCTCTGGGTGTTTTGGCACAGAGCATTGGTCAGAACATAAGCAGAAATGAAAGTGGTTTATTTAGATCATATAGATTTAGAAGTTACCAGGCTGTAAGTTCTTTGTGGCAGTGATTTCATTGTTACCTTATGTTACCTCCATGTGCTTGGTGGAAAAGCTGTAACATTTTCTGTAGGTAAGAAAGCTGGTGTCTTCACTTTCACTGCTTGTGGATAAAGAGTCCAGGAAGAATTTTAAAAGGAAAACTCAAATTTGAAATAAATCAGTGCATGCTGTTTGCACAGTGTAATGAAGATGCTAATGTAAGTCTGCATTCTAATTGAGAATGTTATATATTTAATCAAACATAATTTTGCTTGCAAGCTGTGCTACATGTCTGTCTTTTCTGCCACAGGTTGTTCAGAGACCTGTGGGAGGCAGGTCCACTTTTCACCCAGCTTTCATGTTTTCAATACCCATAGGGCTGGATTGGTCTGAAGACAGTGGAGAGGAGTTGGAGGATTCAGAGCAAACCTCCCCTTACCAGGTCGCGTGGTCTGTCCGAGAAACCCTCGGCTTTGAAAGACATGAGTGAGTATGATTCATCAGTGTTCATGCTGGCCTTGGTGTAGTAAATCATGTAAATATGAAATTTACTTCAGTGGAGTCATTGGGCCTGTATGAGTTTTGCTGAAACGAAGGATTTTTTGAACTCATTTGTGAAGAGCTATTAAACAGTGTTCTGCCTTCAGCCCCAGCTTTCACTTAAAGTGGACACCTCTGCGCAGTCTGCTGTGAGAAGGATGCATCAGGAAAGAATTTAAGCTTATTAGCCTAAATTTAGTTGGGTTTAGTGATGTTTATTCATGAACTTGTGTGTCTTGCTGGATGGAGAGATTTCCTGACTTGTAACCAAAGGAGAAAGGAATTGTTCTTGGTTTCTTGTCTTCCCTACTGTTTGTGAATAAGCTTGTTAGTAAACTTACTGCATTTTACTTGTTAATTGTAATGGTAATTGTGCAGGATTTTGTTTTAATGTGTTTTTTTTTTTCAAAGGGCATGGTATTTCTTTTAGTAATTAAGAAGTGAATAAACTGTTGTTAAATACTGGGGAGCACTGAAAGGAGGAAGGGGATATGTCTGAGCAGGTGTCAGCTGTTGGTGCAGAAAAGCCAGTACTGGTCTCATTATTCTGCTAAACCATGAATCTGGACTTACACCAGGATATCATTAATACACATCCTTATTAACATAAGTTGTAAGGTGCAAAGTTGAAGCAAAGCGTCTCAAGTGTGTTGCTGTAAAGAAACTGTTAACAAAAGGAAATTGGGTCTCAATAATGTCTGACTGTAGTTTCTGTAAAGATGTTCTCTTTCAGTAAGTTAATGAATTGCTTGATACTACAGCTTTCTCCCGTTTATTTATTCTTTAAATATCCCAGTTAAGTAGCATTTAGCATCATCTCATTGTTAAATGGAAATTCTGAGACTTGTCCAAGCTTCTGTCTGTCCCTGAAGCATGTCTGCACAGTGAGCAACAGAGCTGTTATCAGGACAGGCAGCAACATACCAAGTACTGAGAGCCCTTAGTGAGTCGAAGCCTAATCACAGGGTAGATTTTTACTTTTTAAGAAGAAAGGAGTTTCAAAACTATGAAAGACCATTGTTTTTAGGGCGTTGAAAGTCAGAGAGTAAACTTTCACAAGCTTTAGTTCTACTTGAAAGGTGACTTCTGAACCAAAATGTTCTGGGAGAACATGAAGCAACATTCAGTTCATCTTTTAAATCACACATAATGTTCAAAGCAGATATATCTATCAAATGACTCCCATATGCTCATCTCTCTTTGACATTTGAACTAGTTCTTCCTTAGATCCCTGGTGCTTTTTTTTTCCATAACTTTTAAAGGTCATCCGTGTGTATTTTGTCTTCTATTTGTCTTAACTTCCTTTGAATTTTTCCTCATCATTTCTCATATTGATACCTTTTCTTGACATCTTTCTGATCTGTTCTACCATTTTATGCATTTGAATTAAACAGTTTATTAACTGATCATGATGGATACATTTTTGTGTAGTACTGGCTGCTTTTGTACTTCAGTCAGTCTGCCCAGCGTTGGCTCTCCTCAGCAGCTTTCCTGATTTAGTTTATTCATAAACATTGACACGTGCACTTGCTGTCAGCCTGCTAAAACTTTATTTCTGTTCTGCAACCTTCTGTAGAGGCTTTCTCTACATGAAATGTTTTTCTGGGAAATAGCTTCTGAACACTTGGACATTTTTGCACTTTGGTCTGTCGGCTGCTGAAGACAAATAAGTTCAAACAGTTTCTTGGGTGATTTGATTGGTCAAAATGATACTGTATTGCTGGCAGTTCAGTCTGATAGCTCCTGATTTGGTCAGCTTCCTGAGCTCTGAGTTTTGATTAAAAAAAAAAAAAAGCAGGAAAGCAGTGGAAATAGTTCTCCAAAGCCATCGAGTTCCAAAAGCAAATGCCTAAAACTGTGGGAATTTGCTTACTCTTCTTTCTAGTTAAGCTGGTCAAATTAAAGCCACTCTCTCTCTCTTTTTCATTTGTGCTTGAGCACACACATTAACTATAACCCTCAAACAAATTGCTTCTTTACCTTCTTCTAAATACACTTGAGACTGAACTTCTCAAAGTCTTCAATGCAGTTCCTTTGGGAGATCCCTCCAAATATTTCTCTTAGCTTCTGCAGGAAATGTCATTTAACTTTGAAAGTATTGTTTTTGTCTTTTTTGTTAGTTTAGAATATTTCTTGAAGATACATTCCTATAGTAAGTTAATTGTATGTGCAATTAATATGGTAAAATATTCCATGCAGATGGTTAGATGAGTATGACCGTTCGAGTTATGGGAAAAGTTATACAACTGTAATTGCTATTTGATGTGTTCCCTTAATGCCAGTACATGGTATCTAGAAGTATACTTTTGGAGAAAAGTGTTTCAGGACCCTAAAAGCACCTACCCACAGAAATAATTAAGGTGGATTTCAACAATACTGTCACTTCATTGGTTATTACGTAATTCAGTACAAGCCAAAGGCAGTCATCATAGCACACCTATTTCCATCTGACTCCTCTGAAGACAGCAGCAGGAATGCTTCTCAGAGCAGATGAGTAGAAGAAAGTGCTACCTGCTCACAGGTTGTTTTGGTTTTTTTGCTCTCCCTTTTTACTGCCTTTGTTTTCTTCATGAAGTCAATGGTAATTCCCTTGATGACTATGCATGACAGCCCTACAGGGAAGGGTTGGGAAGAAGCTCTTTGGATGATTTATCAGATGGCTTGCATGCATTTTCTGAATTCTTTTGAAAATCAAAATGCCACACATTAAATTCAGCTTCAAAAGTTATAAATGTGGCATAAGAAAATAGGCGAAACAGAGGGTGATAAAGTTATCTATGAAGGGACAAAAGTAAAAAGTATCTTTCAGTTTTGATACTTGCCTAGGTTTTATTGAAAAAGAAAAAAAAAAAAGAGGATGTCATTGTGCTGTGCTTAGGTCTCACAGAAATATGTATGGTTAATCTAGCTGGCTGGGAAATAGCTTCTGAGTAGGTTTTTTAGAAACTGCCTTGAAATAAACCCTTGTTAATTGCAGGAATGACTTCTTTCTATGTCTTATATGTGTGTTTTCATCTTGTTTCATAAAGTGATCTCATAAATTTCAATTCAAAATGTATTAAAATACTATGACTTTTTTCTGTCTATTTGAATGAAAAGCAAGCTCAAGCTCTCCAATCTAGAGACATTTGCATTGAAAAACACTCTTTCCTCCAGAAAGACCTTTTTTCCTAAGGAATATTCTTTACTTAATGCTGAATTAACTTTTGTAACCAAATTTAAAATTAATATGTGTGCACATTTGTTTAAGTGATTTGTCCCAGTGCAGATAAAGCAATATTTCAGACCCCAGGCTGATCTATGTGTAACTGATTCCATCCATATATTTGCTTTCTTCTAATAAATTAGGATGAAAATCTGTATAGAGTATCATAGAATCATGGAATAGCCTGGATTGAAAAGGACCACAGTGATCGTCTAGCTACGAACCCCTTGCTGTGTGCAGGGTCGCCAACCTCTAGATCAGGCTGCCCAGAGAACCACATCCAGCCTGGCCTTGAATGCCTTCAGGGATGGGGCATCCACAACTTCCTTGGGCAGCCTGTGCTCCAGCACATTATTTTTTCTAATCAGGTTGTTTGTTTGTTTGTTTCATTAGGCATTCTTTTCTGTGAATGCTTATAAGTGAATTTTTTTTCATCTTCAGTGTGAAAATATTTTAGACGTTACATACGTTAAATACCTTTAACAAGCTGCATGTGCCGCACAGCGGTTAATTGCAGTGGTTAGTTGCGTGCAATTTATATTTTTTGAAAGTAGTCTGTTATCTGTCTTAATGGGCAGAATTTGCAGTATGGTTGAATTGACATAAACCTCTAAAAAATGTGTATTAGGAACCAGTGTGTGCTTGTGTGGAGTTTCTGTGGGCAGTCCTTGTGATGATGCCTTTTGGAAAGTCTCTTAAATTTAGCCTGTGTGCAGATGGAATAAGATTTTCCACAAAAGAAAGTGGATTTTAGTCATACTGCCTTACAGGAACAGCTGTTCTGCTCACTTTTCTGGATCTTTGTGTAGTAACTATCCTGACCGATATCTTGCATTCTTCTGCTATCAGCAGTTGAGCTCTGCTTTGCCAGGCACAGGTTTGGATGTTGGTTCCTTCAGTCTCACCAACCAAGCTCTACTGCCAGAGCCTTGAGGGGATGGGATTGATTTCAGTTGTTTGGATTTCTTTTCTCTCAAATGGGGAAGCTGACAAAAAGTTCCTTGGTTCTGTAAGGGAAAGCTTAAAGGAAAAACTGAACAAGGTCTTCTTTGCTTAGATTCAGTTCGCTCTGTTGCTCTGGGAGCAAAACCATCCTTCTGCAAAGTGGTGCCTGGTGTGTAGGACTACTTGGTATCACCAGGGACCCTGTTGTTCCCAAAGATAAGTTCATTGCTTTGTGATTTTATTTATTTATTTGATCTCATCAAACTGAGCACGTTGACATGGCTTTGGTGGTCCTGTTGATAAGTGCCTGGACATTTAGAAAGCCCAGATACATGGGAAGAAGCTTTCTCAAGCAAACAAAGACAGAGATCAGTCCTGATCATTGCTGGTCTGATTTTTCCCCTCAATAACTTCAGAATTAAACATGCATTTCTCCTGCATGGGTAGCGTTGCAGCAAGGGAGAGCAGCACTGTCTTAAAATCTCCTTACAAAGTAGCCACCGGTACTTACTTCTCCCTTGCCCCCTTTTTTAAAATCCTCTCAGAATTGGTGCAGTAATGAGGAGGTGGCCTGTGTTACCCTACAGTGTTCTTGCAGCTAACTGTGATGAAACTGGGATATCAGTCCAGGCTTATCTGTGAGAGCTGCAGGGTTGGGTTTGCGTGTTAAAAGTCAAGGGACACACTGTGGGTATTTCTTAGTAAGAAGAGTGAAGTAAGTCCCTTCTTGCTGTGGGCATGGCATTGGTATATGTCTAGTGCAAGAGGCAGGGAACATGAACAGCTAGCTGGTTTAGGAGGAAAAACACCACTTGGCAAAGTAAGGGAAATTGGAAAAGGTCAGCAGTTTTGGTACTTGTTAGAATTTGACCATCTTCTCCACATGACCTTTCTTCAATAAATTTCCACTGAGTAGCTCCCCACCCTAGTCTTCACCATTAATTGCACTTTGATTTAAGAGTTTGTCTCATTTGCTGAGACATTTACAGTAAATAAAGGTTAACAGTATAGATTTTTTTTTTTGAACAGCAGGCTCCAGACATTTAAATGTGTCAGAGTTGATGATAAATTGATGTAATCTCTAATAATGACATGCTAAGAAGGGTAAGTACCTTTAGAATTCAAACAGGTTCTTGTTCTTACCCTTTTCTCGAGCAACCCTGCTTGTTTGCAGCCTTCGGGTGTCTGTGGGGCTAGAAGATGGAGGCCAACTTAACAATTCTATTAAATAGACATGTTAAAATTCCTTTAAAAAAAAAGAAATCGGTTAAAGTCTCTTTGTGTTTATTTCTTTTTTCTTGCCTCCAGGTCCGATGATGACAATGCGGATGACAGGAGTTCCAGGGTGACCAGACTTTGCACTTACTTTCAGCAGAAATACAAGCACCTCTGCCGCCTGGAGCGGGCAGAATCTCGTCAGAAGAAATGCCGGCACACGCTCCGGAAAGCCTTGCTGCAGGCGGCCAGCAGAGAGCCAGAGCGTGCCGGGCAACTGATCCAGGAACTCCGGAGAGCGACCTGTGCTCGTAGCAGGTGAGAGCTTCACCTGCAGTAACCCATGACTGGGGCAGGGTGAAGGTGGGCAGGGTTTCTAGCAGCTGAAGCTGAAATGCTGAACTCTGAAACTGGTAGGCATGCTCACAGCAGAGCAGCCGTGGCATGAAAATGCTGCCATCAGGGTAAAATAATCATGGCATACATCGTTTTCTATTAAAAGAGGCATTTTTCAGCTTTGTGTTCTAAAACGTGGATTGTTTGTTCAGAGGTAGCTGGATTCTTTAATGTCTTAAGAGAACTTAGTGGCGCACTAAAATTTATTCTTGCTAATGAATGTATGCATTTTATCTGTCTCCAAATATCTGGCACTTTGCTAAGCCCAGTTCTGCAGAAAGTGTTGAGTTTGGTCTGCAGTTTACTGCTTCAATTCATTTTTTTTTTTCCTGCTTTTTTAAACTCCCCTCCCCTCCAGCCTTTACCACTTTTTAGTTCTCTTCCCAGCAAATCAAACTTAAGTTCATGCTTTTTATTAGATTTAACTCAATCTAGCATTAAATGAAACTCGGTAACAAAAATCTTCTAACAGCTCTGAAGGTTACCTTCAGTGGGAATTTTTTCGAGGTAATGTCAACATCCCTCCAGCTCTTGGCGTACTGAGAGTTGGTTGGTATGTGTTGTATAGAGACTGAGTAAGTCTGAACCCTTGGGTACCCCCAGTTCCCTTTGATTCCTTGATTTTGCTTTACAGGGTGTGTTACTGTGGGTTTGGGGAGAGCTGGTATGAGAGACAGGCCAGGTATCGAGAGTATATTCTGATGATTAGATGCTCTTGTTCCTGGCCAGTGGGCTGTGGTTCTTGGCAGTGGGAGGGCTTATTGCTGGGGAGGTGGAGTGATGCTGGAATAACTTCTCAAAAGTGTAATATAGAGGTATACGACTCGTTTATGAAGACACATAAATGTCTCCAAACTTCAGCTACAGCAAAACCCTTGCCAGAACTGACAAACTCTTTCTGGGTTTTTTGCTACTGAGGCCTTTCATTACATGAAAGATTAAATTGTTCTCAGAAGACTAGTGTAGACAGGTATGCCTGTCATCACTGCTCTAGTTAAATTAGGTAACTGCAGTCTTTTCATTTACAGAATCTTTCACAGGTAGTATCACTAACTAAAACTTTGCTCAGTCAAAGTGCAGTTGATGACAGTAATGGATGAAGGCAAGCAGTCAGGCTACAGGCAGCTTTTTGTCAACCTAGAAAACAACGTGTACAGAGGTGAAATTCAGCCCTGGAACCTCCAGCTTTATCTACGTGAAGGTGACAAATGCCTTGAGAGCAGGCTAACACCGAGTGAGCTGTGTAACACTTGCAGTACTCATCCACACTGCTGTCTGGTTGCCTGCTTGCAGCTCAGGCTCAAAGCACCGAGGCTGTGCTGAGGAAGCACTCTGGGGACCTGCTGGTGGATTGGGCTGTAGCACGTTGATGACAGAGAGCTTTTACCCATGTTGAGCACGCTCAGGCTCTGCCACTCCAGAGCTCAGTCTAAGTTTGTCTGAGCACATGCTTGCATGTAAGCTCTGGGGATGCTCGGCATGTTTTGATTTATGAACAGGCTTGAAAATGCACTTGACTGCCCATGTGGGCATACCCAATACTTTGTATTCTGAAAGTTGACTTCATTTTAAGGATCACCTATGATGACACTCACTTATTGCTGTTCAGGGCTCTGTTGCAGTGTGTAGTAATATTTACATAGTAACAGCACCAGAGCACCTCTCTTTACAATGAAGGCCCCATCAAATTAATAACAATCCTGTTAATACAGTCATACCTTCACCTTTCATTGACATCTATTCTGTATCCCTGTTCAGAGTGTGGTAGTAGATGTGCACCCATCTGGATCATGACACACACACATGTGATCTACAGTGTTTCATCCTGCTGTGCCACAGTCAGTGGAATGGTTGTGGTAAGTTAATACCTGAGACTGAGTTTTGGACTCCAAACTCTTTTATGCTTTTGTTTCAGCGCAAGCCACGCCAGGCAGAGAGATGCAGAACCAACAACCTGTAGTGGGACTTCGAAGGGAGAACTGTGCACTAACAAGGCCCTTCCATTCACCAGGCATTGTTTTCAGCGTATCCTTTTAACTGCTTAGAAGTGGAAGCTTTCCTGCTTTAGAGTTGTTCGTTGACAAAGGTGTTGTCACAAAGTAATGAGTGTTTGTTAGTGTCTTGTCAGCTGTATTGCTTTTAATTTTTCCTTGTGGGTCTGCAGGCAATGAAGATAAGTGGTTTGTTACTGATACCTTTCGTAGTCACATTGTTTTACTCCCGTAAGCTATGTCTAGTGGGTATAAGAAATCTGTATGAAAATGATCTTATTTCATGGATAAAATGGTACAAAACACGTGGCCCTCAATATCACGGCTTTCATATAATTCTTGGTAGATTCAAGTAGGTTTATATGAAACAAATTTTACTTACTATGAAAGGTTTATAGAAACAAATTTTCACATGTGGTTGAAAAAGATGACGTATGCAGTGACTGGGGAAGGTGGAAATCTGTTACTTTGCATTGCTAAAGAAACAGAAGAGAGGGAGTCAGAAAGTCCAAATTCTAAATGAGGAAGAACTCCCAGTGCAGAGAATTTCAAGCAACATCTGGAAAGATGTAAAGAGTTTATGTGTGAAGCTCACAGAGGGGAGGAAGCATACTACGTGTGAGGTTTAATTCTGAGCACTATAAACAAGCAGACCTCTGACCTGGAATACTTAACAATTCTGCAGTCTTGGTATTTTTATAGATGAAGACTTAGAGCTTTTGTAGGTGAAATTCCTTCTATTGAAGGTTTTGGTATTTTAAGAGACTAGTGTGTCTCTGTTCCAGTTGCTAGCAGATGGTGCACCTTTTCAGTTGTTTGGTTTGGCTGTGTTTTGGATCTTCCATGTGACTCAGAATTCTATTTTATTTTTCTTTAAGTGGTTTTGTTTGTGGGTGTATATAGAATGGTCAAGAATAGTAATTTTTGCATTTCTACCTGTTTTGTTTATACTTTCTTCTCACTGGAAACCTGAAACAAGCAGTCTGCAATCCAGATTGCCTTCTGCAGTTTCTTTTTCCCATTTTCTTTTTCTTTTCCTTTTGCATTTTAGCATTTTAGTATTTTTTTGAGCACACCTAATGATCTTGAGGGTAGAATCAAACTGAAAACTATTCAAGACCGAAGGAGTATTTCTACTGCTGCTGAAAAAAGCCGCAATGAAATACCTGTTTGATTTGCTTTAAGACTAGAAACATTTTCACCTCTGCAGGGAATTTTTCTGAAGGAAATATCAGTGAGCTTACGTTTAGATTTACTTGACCTTTGTGTCTGATTACACATCTTTTTTTCAGGGGAGCAGGAAGGATCTTGAAACTTCTTTGTCTGAGTTGTACAGATAAATGCCAAGAATGTACCTCAAAAGATTGAATTAAGAAATAGTCTTTCTTTAATGTTTCAGTATGGATTGTCATTAGTCTGTAAGGAAATAGTCGTGTTGACTATGCTGCTTCAACTGGTACTATTGATCTATTGATTAAGAATCCAGGAAAAGACTTCTTTTTGCTAAGAACTCATTAGTGAAATAGCTGCTTCCATAAAACTATCTCAATATATAATAAAATCATTAGAGATTCTGCATGAATGCACTTTTTCACTTTAAAACTTGGGTTTGAGCCTTACCTAGCTTTGAACTTGAATAACAAAGTTAAGATACTCATTAAAAGTAGCATCCGTGGACAGATAAAGTTGAAGGCTCTGATCTTTACCAGATGGATAAATCAAAGGGCGTTTCTCCATCATTGCCTTGTGTGTTATTCCTGACTCAGAAATGCGCAGATATCTTACTGAACCGTTCTCAGCAGCTCTTCTCAAGTTGCACGGCCAAGTTTGCAGATGGTCAGCAGTGCTCTGTGCCAGTTTTTGACATTACACATCAGACACCTCTGTGCGAAGAACATGCCAAAAAAATGGTGAGTACAAAACCATAATTATTTCTTTGTACTGAGTAAACTCTTGCTTGATAATTAGAGAATTCACAAACTTAAGAGCTCATTGCCTTTTACTTTCTTAAGAAGGTAAAAGATTCCTGGTTAGTGTAAAGTCTGCTGTAGAAATCTTTTAGATACTTTTGATGATATAACAAAGTGCACATGAGAATATCCTCCTCTCCTGTATCAAGAAATAGCAAAGTCTTTGTTAGAGATCCTGTGGCCATTTTATTTGGACTCACTCCTGGCCCTTGGTTCTGAATGTACTATGAGTTGTGGTATGGACAGAGCACTGCTTTTCAAACAACCTTGCTACGCAGCATCCCAGGCATTTTCTAGAGGAAGTGTAGATAGCAATTAAGCAATTACAAACATAATGATTTTGCTACTTAATTTACCTTTCAGTGACTAAAGAAGCTGTCTTTAATCCCCTTTAGGGATCTTTGCATCCCAGAGGAAAAGCAGTGGCCTACAACACAGTGAGAGAAGGCACAAATAGAGATGATGTCCTCTACTCTCCCTTTATGCCTTCAATCTTCCAGAACAAAACTTCTCAGATCATGTGCACCCACTACTGTCTTGCCCTTTCTTCAAGGCAGTACGCATAAAACTGCTGGTTCTGTTTTGTTCTGTTGTTGGAGTCTGTTGTTTTTCTTGTGGATTTTTTTTTTTTTTTTGCCCCCTCTCTCTAATAATTCTGAAATACTGAGTTTTCTAGGTTAAAATGTGATGGTTTCTGCTAAACAAACAGGTTTGTATGCGATGTTTTCCCTTTTCCCAGCTAGTCTTTACTGTGTCTGTCACTATTTAGTTCTGCAGCAGATAAAATCCTCTGCCATTCCCAGCATAATGGTAACTGAGAATTGAAAAATATTTGCTTTATTTTGTAAATGGCCACTGGGTTACTCTTAGAAAGCAGTGAAGCCATAGTTACTCAACCATACTCTTTACAAATCCCTAGTCCTAGAGTGCTGTCTCTTTTGTACGGAAGAGGACAGTTGAGGATGCTGTCTGCAGCTGCTACACTCCATTATTACCACCTTAACAAAGTATTCACAGGAGTGCTACCAAAAGAACAGTTTTGCAGAGATTTAGTTAGGATTTGTTACGATGGTTTTGTTAAATAACACTATACAGCCTCTTCTATTTACCATACCCCAAACTTTGGTGTCTGTGATTTTTTTGCCAGAGAGGGAAGAAACAGCTTAATATTTGTGTCTTGCCTGGGTTTAAGTTAGTGGTCTCTCTTGCATGACATACGAGCATAATGAGGGGAAAGAAAGGCAAGAAAAGTAATATTTGTTCTTTATTTTCTTCTGCTGCTATTGTTTTGTTCCCAAAGGACAACTTCTTGAGGGGGGACAGCTCCCGTAAAGTTCAGCACCAGCAGCAGAGGAAACCCAGGAAAAAAACAAAGCCACCTGCACTTACCAAAAAACACAAGAAGAAGAGAAGGCGAGGCCCACGCCGGCCCCAGAAACCTATTCCTCCTGCAGTGCCCCAAGGGAACCTCACCATGCCTGCCAGTGTCTCACTGCCAGTAGAGATGCCCCATATACGGTTAGTGGCAGCCTTGCCCCACCCTGCTCTCTGCTATCTTGAATGTTGTAAATAAGTACTGTAGAAAGGTGTGATGTTGCTGTGCTGATCAGCATCTGGAGCAGGAAGATGCTTCTGGAGAAATTACATCTCCATATGACTGTTGGGGAAAAAAAACAACTGAACTTAGAGTCAGTAATTTTAGAACTGAGCAAATACTGAATTTGATGGATAAAGTGTGAGGAAATGTCCATTCGTAGTTGTTGTCTGAAGGAATCAAAGTCAAACACTGGGGACTAATGGTTCTTTCTGTCCAGGAGCCCCTCCACCCCAGAGCTGAGTGCCGATGAGCTGCCTGATGATATCGCCAATGAAATCACAGACATTCCACATGACTTGGAATTGAATCAGGAAGACTTCTCTGATGTCCTGCCACGGCTGCCCGATGACTTGCAAGATTTTGATTTCTTTGAAGGTATCGTTTTATTTTATTCTATGCTAGTGTGAACACAGTCAGTGAATTGCAAAAACAAGTATTTCTGAAGCATGCATTTTGAGGGGCTGCTTGCTTTCTCAGAGAGGCAGTAACTTCTAGACAAGGGAGAATGCGTCTTCCCTATTGTTTGTGAGCTCTGAAGTAAAGCAGCCTTTGAGAAGGCTGGTGTGTGTAGATGAATGCTTGCTCTTATAATTACTGCTCTGTAAATCCTAATTGGTTTAGCTTTTTAATAATTCATTTTGCATTTTTATTGCCTGTCAGTGTTGCAGTTTAATCAAGCATATTCTTAGTAATGGCATCTTTCTGCCATTGAGTGGGGCTGAAATCACGTTCAATGTTGGTCTTTGATAAAAGGAGAGGAGAGTGAAAATAAGATCTTTAAATACGTTTTTGAAACTAGCTTTTGATCAGCCTGAATTTCTGGATTCTGAAGCTTGGTAACTATCACAGGTAACAAAGAAATAAGAACAGCTTGGAGCTGTGTGGAATATGTGATTTCTTTGCTCATTTTCTGACCAGATATGATATCAGTGTATGCACTTCAGTAGAAATTAGCTTAAATTGTACTGATTGTATAAATTTTAGGCTGTATTGCAGTAAGCAGAAAGGAATTTGTAGACAATTTGAATTTGTTTTATTGCAGCACTGATGAAAATCTTGCTTAAGCGTTTTTGCTTTAAATCCAGTGAGAGTGGGGGGCACCTTATACTACAAGTTGAAGAGGAGGAAAGGAGAAGGAATTTCACAGGAGAGGAACGTTTTAGTTTCTAGTTTTTCTTACGCTGCTTTTGTAGTCAACACTGGTGAAGGAAACTTTCTCTGTACCACAAGCCATTCTGGAAACTTATACACTGCTGTTCTGTACCCCTGCATCCTTCAGGTGCTGGGGGCCGCCTGAGATGAGTGCTTAACTTCTGATATCCCTGTTTCTGCAGGTAAAAATGGAGATCTCCTTCCAACAACAGAAGAGGCTGAAGAACTGGAACGGGCCCTACAGGCTGTAACTTCTCTTGAGTGCCTGAGTACCATTGGAGTACTTACACAGACAGATGGTGTGCCAGTTCAGGAGCTGTCAGATAGAGGGATAGGGGTGTTCTCTACAGGTGCTGGAGCTCCAGGAATGCAGTCCTTGAGTCGAGAGGTTAACACGGATCTGGGGGAGCTGTTGAATGGGCGTATAGTACATGATAACTTCTCCAGTCTGGAGCTGGATGAGAACTTGCTCCGCTCTGCTACCTTGTCCAACCCACCTACGCCCCTGGCAGGGCAGATCCAGGGGCAATTCTCAGCCCCAGCCAACGTCGGCCTTACTTCTGCCACTCTGATAAGCCAGAGTGGCCTTGGGGAGAGAGCCTTCCCAGGACAGTTTCATGGACTTCACGATGGCAGCCATGCCTCCCAGAGGCCCCACCCTGCCCAGCTGCTGAGCAAGGCAGATGACCTGATCACCTCACGACAGCAATACAGCAGTGACCATTCACACTCCTCACCCCATGGAAGCCATTATGATAGTGAGCATGTGCCGTCTCCCTACAGTGACCATATCACATCCCCTCACACCGCATCCTTTTCTGGTGATAACCTGGCAGCTACCTTCTCAGCAGAGATGCCCATGATGGCACAGCACTTGCTCCCAACTCAGCTGGACGTGCCACTTAGCGGGGTGGTCAACCCCAGAACTCATTGGGGAAATCTTCCTGTCAATCTTGGGGACCCCTCTCCGTTTAGCAACCTTCTTGGTGCAGATGGACATCTCCTGTCCACCTCCCTGTCCACACCACCTACCACCTCGCATTCAGAGACCACACAGCCTGCCTTCGCCACTGTGACCCCCAACAGCTCCAGTGTGCTTCCGGGGTTGCCGCAGACCAGTTTTAGTGGCATGGGTCCTGCCTCCGCTGAACTCATGGCCTCCACCTCCCCTAAACAACAGCTCCCTCAGTTCAGCGCAGCTTTTGGGCACCAGCTGAGTTCCCACAGTGGCATCCCCAAGGACCTGCAGCCCAGCCACAGCTCCATAGCTCCTCCCACAGGCTTTGCAGTGACCGGTGCCACCGCTACCAGTACCAATAACGCATCTGCGCCCTTCACCACCTCCAGCTGAGCTTGTCTGCCTGGCTCTGTGCAGGTAGATGGGGGACCTGTGTTTTCTTTCTTTTCTTCCTTTATTTTTTTTTTCTGTCCTCTCCTTTCCCTCCCCCCCCCCCCCCTTTTTTTTTTTTTTAATTTTTTTAAACGAAGGGGTTAAAAAGAAAACCCCAGCTTCAGTACTGACCAGGGTTAGCCCTCTGTGAACCTTGCTGTAGCGTTCACATGTGCTTGTTACGCACTGGTGCTCATTTAGTGCAGGCAGGTTCACTGTTCCCCAGTAATTCCTTAAGGATACAGCACAGTTACTGGATGTAATTGATCTTAGCAGTAAGACCTAGCAATGGGAAGATACCTCAGATTACGGATGCATGTTACTGATTCCTAGGGTTTGGATCAGTGCTTGCCATCCCCATTAGCATCTGGTAGAAAGTTTTCCAGTGGGCAGAAGTCTTTTTATTATTATTATTATTTTTTATTTTCCCAAAGGTAGCATCTGGCATTGAAAACTTGGCTGCGCACATTGAATTGAGAATAGTGCACTGAAGTCCTAAAACAAGACCATGTTCAAGAATGAGTTTGACAGCTTGTTAAGATAGTGTCTTGATCTCCTCTGTGTGCGTGGTGTGTGTGTTTGGGGTGCAGGAAGCAGCAGTTCTTCTTCTGCTTTTGGTGAAGAAGTGGAAAAAGTGGGATTTGTCCCCTTTTGGATCTGGTCACTGTTCTTAATGCATGCTGACTTTTATTTTGATGATGATGATTTTTAATTCATTGAGCAGCAAGGGGAACAATTGACTGTTGCCCATAAATTTGAAGGCTGATGCAAAGCTAACCCAGAGGAAAAAAAAAAAACCAAACTAAAAAAACCAACAAAACCAGAAATGTTGAAATAGAATAATGGTATAGTGAAGATTCCTGTGCAGAAATTCCCTTCCCTGCTGAATTACAGTGGCCTTGTAACATTGATGATTTGCCTTTTCAAGTGTGGCTTTGTCCCAGACTCCTTGCCTGACAGGCTGACAGGTACTTTCCAGGTGAAACTGGAAGAATTCAATTGGTATTCTGCCCATCCACACAAGTCTAGTTCAGGCCCTTTGGTAAGTTCCAAACGGTTGCATTTTTCAAATTGTTTCAAATTGTGACTTTGTTAGCTTTTTTTCACACCAAGCCATATTGTTTTTGGATTTCTTATGGGACTTGATGCTCTTAACATGAAGCTGAGTGTGTGTGTAAGGAACTAGCAGGTACCTATCAGCAGTTGTGGCTAACCAAAAGATAAATCACTAAAGCAAAATAGGTAAATAAGAGTTTTTTTGCTTTCTTTTTTTGGCAGGACAGTTTTGGTTTTACTGCTCACCTGCTGAAGACGGTGTTCAGACTCTTAGGTAGTAATTTCAGAGTAATTTCAGTTCTTATAGAATGGAGTCCACTAGCTTTTAGATGTTTTTATTTTTTTACTTTGTTTTTAATCCAAGGGATAACAGCAGCAGAAATCCAGAGGTGTTTACATGTATCTCTTTACTGGAAGGGAAAAAAGGAATTTGCTTGTGACTTTATAGGGCTCAGATTTGCTACTATACTTTGACTGTAAAAGCAACTCCTATTTCATTAGTATAACAAGTCTCTACTATTCTTGACTTGTTTCTGAGATGCAAATGAGTGAGAATAGAAAAACCCACATTTCAGTCTCCGACTGTAGAAGAGGGATTTCCTTCCACCTTAGTGTAATACATCCTATTGCATATATTCTAGTCTAATCCAGGAAACTGAGAACCAAGCACATGTGATAGGGAGGCCTAATAAATTGTTTGAGCAAGAAATCTTTGAACTAAGTTTAGTTTCTACAGAAAGTCATTTCGTTAGCAGTCAGGCCCACATCGAACTCTGACCCAAACCTCTCCTTTCATCTTGCTAAAGAACAGAGTTTAAATGGGAGAGGTCTTGTCTCCTTACTATCATAGCAATCATACTATCTCCTTTTCTTGAAAAGTTTGTCCTCCTTAAACTTAAAGGAGTATGGATGACGTGTGTGTCCTTTATGAAATTGCAAGTGTATGTGGGTGGAGGAAACAAAAATGATTTTCATGCTTCTGTTGTTATGAAGTCCTTATTTCATACTTGGTAAAATAGATCTTAATAATATAAGGCAAATATTTTTTAAGTGGTGATTTAAATATGTTTGTAACATTTAAATGTTTTTAAATCATGTAAAAAGTTGAGTTGAAGCCTATGAAATCCTGCTTGTGATTGTCCTGCTGATTGAGGAATGCCCAGTGGTATTGTGAAATGAGGCAAATCTGACAAGGCATTTATTTATTTTTGTATTAAGTTCCCCACGCTTTGTTGAGGAGACAACTGTTTGATTTGCAAATTATTTTCCTTGTGTCCATATTCATTCTTCATGTTTTGGGTGACTGGCTGAAAAAAAGTGAAGAACTAGTATACCAAATGGTTAATTCTTTAATCTGCTTGTGTATTTGTGTCACTTTTAGAGGATGTTAATTTCTATAAATTGGTTTCAGGACTTTGGTCTTGAAATGATTCTTGTGCCCATCAAACTCTCTCATGAAGCTGCAGCTATTGCAGGGTTTAATTGCTCCACATTACATTTCTCTTTCTTAGCAAATGCAGGGTGTGAGGGGGGGGAGGGATGGAGGGCCAAGTTCTGCTCGCTCAAATTGGTATAAATTTCAGAGGAGCTCTTTGGTATAAGGTCACTGTTAGTTTGTACTGGTGTAATTCAGAACAGTATCCAGATCCTAATCTGAGTGTTATTTTAATCAGGGAATTTCAAAAGCTGTCAAAGTTATGCAGGTTCATAATTCTCGTTTGAAATCATTGGCCATTATGGATCTGCATTCCTATAAGGCAACCTAGGACATCAACTCTTCCACCACTTAAACTTCAGTTTTGTATATCCCTTGATGACCTTTTCCTGAAAAGTGATGAGGTAACATTTTTCAGTGAGCAAACTAAGTTTGCAGTAAACTGTACTATTAAAAATGAATTTGTTCATATACATTGGAAGTAGGAATCCCTCTGTCCTGTCTGATAGAGTTCTGCAATGGGCCACCATTCTTGCCTTCTCCTGATTCACCTCCTATTTTTTCCACTGCCAGCCTGACGAGAACTTAGGAGAACTGATCTTAGGTTTACAGGAGAGTTTGTACCAGTAGACTTCTACACCTGCAGAGCCCATTGAGTTCAGTGGATCAGTGTCTTACTGCTGGATGTGGAAGATCCCATTGAGAACCTCACGCAGCCAAAAATTTGGCACCTCTCCCTCTGGGAAGTATTGCTGGTCTGGATGAGGTATTCCTTGTATAATTCCTGAATAGCATTCATGCTTTCTTGCTGAGGTTTTTGAATATCATCTCCTTGTACAGCAATTAGCACTCTAATCGCCCTTTCACCAAAGAGTCAGTGTAGCAATTTCAGTCCATTGATTTGAGTTGGTCAATATCTGTCATGCCCTTTACATATGAATGGATGGAATAAAGCTAGTTTAACTTAAAAGTTAATTTCCTTACATAAGATTTGAGTTGTAGAGAATGGAGAAAAGAATTAGATCTAGAATAAAGTACCATTAAGATCGTTTTTTGTTAATAGCTGCATCTCAATTATTTTTTGTACAAAAGTGCAAGAATTGACAGAATGACACATAACAGCATGGAGGCTGATAGGAGCAGCCTGATGGTGGCCTGGCGTGTGAGGTGTTCTGTTAGACACACTTTCACTTAGGAAGATTTTAGGCCAATTTCGAGGGGAGCCATATTCACTTAGATACCTCAAGGCTGATTTGTTCTTAGGTCTTGTCATTAACTGATAGAAGAAGATGCATCTGTGATGCAAGAAGATAGGAAAGATGCCATTTTTTGTCCCCTCCAGCTTTCCGCTTCTTCCAGGTTCTTGCTTAGTTCTTTTCTCATTGGTAGCAAGCTTCTTTGTGTCTTTGGACATAAAGGTCAGTGAAACAATTACATCAATAATGCTGAAAGGTAGCACAGATGAAGGTCTGCCTCATACACTATAGTCTGCAACAGCTAGGCTTCCCACTTCTTTCAGCAGGTTAGTGAATGAGGATTCACAGTTCTTGTTTGAAAACATTAGTATGCCTTGAGAAGCTTACAACCCATTAGGCAAAAATCAGAGATGGCATTGGAAGTACAAATGTAAGGGAAGAAACATTAAAAGAGGGGCTGGGAATGAATTTGCAAGCTAATACCCACATTCAGTTAGAGGCTGTTTTGGTGTAACCACATCTAAGTACAGTCTAGGGTTGAATTGCCTTGCTAGGGAAGATGGGTCTCGAGGAATATTACCCTGTAGAGGTGTCTTCACTGAGAAGTTGTCCCTAGTGATTAAGTGCACATCCTGCTGGTCCACATCTGAAGCTCCGGCTCCTCCATGGCGCTGTAGCAGCATGGCTGTTGCATTTCCCTGTAGGCATCAGCAGGACCAGCTCCCTGGTACTAAATCTTTCAAGTGGTGGAAGGCAAGCTGCAGCAAGGGGAGTTTTCAGCAGGCAAAAGTAGGCAACTTACCTGTGATGATTCTTCTGCAGTGAAGCACTGTGTGGGTGTCTGGGCAGCTTTCTTCATGGGATGTTTCTTTTTGCCTTTGAATTTTTGCCATGACATGTAAAGAAGTCTCCTATGCAGGCCAGTTGCAGCATCCTCTGGTGGTGGAGATACTAAATAAAGGAGTAGGTTTGGATCTTTTGAGTGATATTTAGTGCTGGGATGTTGGGGGCTGCTCCTCTTACCCCTCTCCCCTCCTTTTATTTCCTTCCTTCTGCATTCTCCATCATTCTCTCTTTTAGTCTCCCATTCTCAGATAGTTCTCCAGGGTAGGTAATGCCAACCGTAAGTCTTCTGTGGCTTGGTCCTGAGTGACTGTGGCTGTGAAATACAAAGAAGGAGAGATTGCTGCATTTCATAGCATACATCTGGGGTGCTAGGATGACAGTGTACTAGACGTCAAATATTTCTCAGCTCAGTGAGTAGGGTTTCACAGCACACTGATAGGTTGGATGCTGAGGAGCATCAGCAGTGAATGTGTGGGCTTTTAGTGAGCATCTGCCTTCTCACAGATTTTTCTTGTTTTGAGAAGTGCATCAGTAGAAAATCACAAAAGTTACAGATTATTCTCTTTAAAAGCTGCGTGAAGAAGCCCAGCTAAAAGTAAAGATGGATGGGGGAAAAATTGACATTTGAATTTACTAAGCTTAAATTTGAACTTCAGGTGACTCCTAGTCTGTGAGAGACTTCGCTCTCTCAGCTAATTTGTTGGGAATGAAAAGCCTGTGGGAGAAGGAGGAATTGCAGAATATTGTGTCTTGGAACAATTTTCTCGCCCATATCTTCATCCATTTAAACACAAACCAAAAAAGTAACTCAGTTCTGGGAGCTTTTCCTTTGCTGTTCTGCTACTTGTCTCCTGGTTGTTGGGTTCTTTGTTTTCCCCTGTTGTATTCTGCTTCCACACGCTTGTTCTCGGGCCCCTGTGGAACAGGGTGGCAGTGGAGCGTGAAGGAAGTCAGTGGGTTTGGCTGTAGATGGACCTCGGTAGAGAAGGCTTTCTTTTTCCAGCTCCTTATAAGCGTTGGCACCTTTTCAGTCTTCCTTGGCTCACATAATTTAGTTTGGAAGTCAACAGGTTGAAATTCAGGCTTTTGACCTTAAAACTATACATAGTTGATGAGGGAGAAATGCATTCCTGTGCTCCTTCCCCTCCCTAGCCCCCAAGCACACACACGGTGAGATGCACAGAGTACATGCGCGTGCACTTGGTCCAGCAGCGCTAACGTTTTATCTGCTTGCTGCCTTCACCAGCCGGCGCCCACTGAAGTGAGCTCTGGGTGGGTGATGTCCCCAGATATCCTCTGGAAAACTTTAACTTTGGTGCAGATTGCTTCTAATGTAGCTGACTGACATGGCATTTGCTTCTGCTTTGGAGTGGATAATTTACCCTGTAATGAATCTAACCTGCGTTCCGAACAGCGTATGGTCCCAATGAAAACAGATTCATTCTGAAGTGATGAACAGTTGGGTTCTCATGCAAAATATCCTACACATCCTACCAGAAGGGGTTGAACCAGTTTCTCTGAACAGTGATTATCTTCACTGTACAGTTTTGGGTATGTCTCAGGGATTCCTTGTGGAAATAAGGGCAGTTAACAAAAAAAAAAAAAAAAAAAAAAAAAAAAAAAAAAAAAAAAAAAAAAAAGAAAGAAAAAAAGAAAAAAAAAGTAAATAGTTTTAAAAGTAAATAATAATTTAAGGTAGAGCGTCATCTAAGTGAGAGTGCGAGAGAGAAATCCGTGTTCAATTTTCTAGTCCACTGTCTGGCTTAGGGACTCTTTCTCTTCTTGGGGCTCTCAAGATCAACATACAGAATCTTTTTCATCACGCTCAGCTTTAAACTTTTTATTTAAAGATACCCTTCCCCAATGAGCTTTCAGAATACTTATTGTAGATTTTAAGAGAAATGGTATATTAATTTATGCTATTAACATCACCTCATAAATTATAAGTTTTATACTAAAGCTGTATTGAGTGTAATGAATTATGTTGCATATGTGTTTTTAATGGCTATAAAATTATATACAAGCTTTTTTGGGAAGACAAACTAGTGAAGCACCTTTTTACACTGGATTTTGCCGTGTCAAGGTGTACAGCTATTCTTTGCTACCTTGCAGATATCTATATCTATATCTATATATAGATATATATATAATTAAAATAAAATGGTATCCTGTATCAACAAAGCATAGAACTCTTTTTAACCCTTATATCACTGTTCCTATATCTCTTTTTAAATTTTATTTTGAGTGTTACATTCTGCAATAATTTATCTGTGGTTTGTACCATTGATTAGACATTTAGTTACAGGGTAAATAGATCAAATTAAAAAATCCAACTACTGTAGCTGGAAGTTGTGAAACAAGTTTTAAGACTTTTTTTTTAATGTATTTATTTCCAGTTAGCTCTGTGAGTTGGAATTTGAAAAGTCAGAACATTAGAAATCTCAGTGTCTTATTCAGGAATTTTCCCCCTCCTTTCCTCACAAAGGAATTCCCACTGTGACTTATAAATAGAATTAGACTGCCTGTGTGCATGTATGTATGATATATACACACAAAAATATGCATTGGGGGGGATGTATGTGCGATACGAATGTGTATATTGTATGTAGGTCATAGTTTTGTAAAGAGAAAAGTAGTCGAGAGGTGATGGAATGTATTGTAGAAATGTGATTATTTAGTAGGGGGTTCCTATGTCCTCACTGTTGTATAAATAACTCAAACTCTCTACTATATAATCTTCTGTTATAAGGCTAATTCTGATATCATGTCAATTTTACTGTTTTTTAAATGACTTGCAGTGAGCCCTGTTTAACATGTCATGAAAATACCAAGCTCCCAAAGACAGCCTTTACATAAAATACATGGAGGAGGAGAAGGGATGGGAGAATTGAGTGATATTTTTCAGGAGAATTTGAAATGGAGAGTTCTGTGATG